TAGCCTTAAAGGACTAGCCTCCACCGTGTTGTGGCTCATAGATAATCAAGATGGTGAGGGCCAGGCTCACGCTGCTTGCTCATCCCTTGATGACAACATCAAGTGATAACTGGACTGTCACAGATATAGCACCATTGATGGAAGTTTCATATGAGGTGACATCAACACCTCAAATGCAGTGCTGTTTAACAGAGTAGGCTGCCACGTACAGCTGTCAATCATCACATGTCCAATAATCAAGCAATGCATATTTATATGCATGTGTGAACCAGTCAGTGTTAGAAACTGAGATATGAAAGCTAGGAGCTAAATGGCACCTTAAACCGAGGTTATGGGTGCAACAACAGAATGCCTAGGTGCGGTTTTTTATAACAAGAATACCAAGCTGAAAATGAATGAACTGCAGCTAAAACGTTATGTTCATTTTTCACATGGTCAAGTCCTTCCCCTGCCCACCCCCCTAGTATTCTTAAGAGGGTCTCTTCTCCAGTCTTGAGAGAGTAGCTGGAAGTGGGGAGGCAGAAAAAGGTCCTCCTTTCCTTCCACTCTGCAATTTTAATCTGAAATCTTAGGCGCAGTACTGTGCCCAGAGCTCAGAAACTTATCACGCTGCTGAAATTCCCTATCGCAAAATGTGCCTAGAATCATGGGAGTTTCGAACTCTGGAACTAGTCTACAGGTACAGTACACCCTTATAAGGTTTCCATTCCTTTTTAAAAGAGTGAGAACGGAACAGAAAGGGAAAAAGTGTTCCTGTATCTGAATAGTTGTGTCAAATAGGAGATTTTTGGAGTGTGCAGTTGGATGAACATGTAGCAGCAGAATTTCCCTCTTTTCCTTAACTCCATTTTTGGGTTACCCTCCTTTTCTCTGTGTAATCTTTTCCTGTTGCAGAATTGTGCACTATTTCATTGATGGTGGTGACCCCACTGTTACCAGATGACTTATATGCCTGGATAGCTCGGCTGGCTACAGCGTGGGGCTGATAACGCCAAGGTTGCAGGTTCGATCCCCTTATGGGATCCCCAGTATGGGACAGCTACATATTCCTGCATTGCAGGGGGCTGGACTAGATCATCAAGATCCCTTCCATTCTGTGATCAGGACGTGCCACATTAGTGGGTCCTCCTAAACCAGCACCTGAAGACAAGGGAAGATCGATCTCTCCGTGGCCATTTAAAGTACGGTGCCTGCGAGGAAATGAGGCAGGGGATCCTAGACGTGCGGCGGGAGAGGGAGCGGGGCTGGCTTTGAACCTGGATCGACGGTCACGTCTGTATGGGGTGCGGAGAATGACCTGGCATCGGTTGCGCTCCAGGTCCTGGGAGTGCAAGAAGAGTTTCTCTCCCCTAACAGCCGCCTCCTCGCCCCTTCCGTCGAAGAAAACTACCTCGCGGCAACGCTGCGCAGGGGCGCGCGGAGTGGGGCGTGAATCGCTTCTGAATAAATGTCTCTATTAATGAATTATTAGCTCGGCTCTCCTGACCTTAAAAGTGGGATGAAGAGGCGCCCAGGGCAAGAAAGGAAAGCTGCTGGAGCCTTTATCGGTCTCCTGTCAGAGGCGCCCGACCATTTGTCTTCTCCCTCAGATCGCGAGAATTAATTAATATGAAAGGAAACTTTTTTAATTGTGTGTCAAACGAAATCAGATAGGGTCTCCGCCCCTCTCAGATTCAATATATATTCTTTAGGGTCTTCGCTTCTTCCAGATTATTTTTTCCCCTTTCTTTCACAAGGAGAAAGTGTAAGAAGCAAAGGGGTGATGTTGGGGGCGGCGGGGGCGGTATGTATGTAATATTCCCAAGGAGGGAAAAAATGATGGATTTGGGGGTAGATAATTTATCGATCCTGGCTCCTCTTCCCGCTTGTTTTATTTTAGAGGTCATTAATCAATGAAGAAAAACACACCACCGCGTCTCACCTTTTTGCATGTAATACAAACACTTTCCCCTTCCTTATTTATTTCTCTGGGAATGGATTCCTAACAAATATTCGCCGATCGATCCGGTGGAGGGGGCGATGGATTTTTATCAAAGTTTGACCGCTCGCGAAACCGATCGATTTGATTTGTTTCCAGCGTTCGTCCTATAAATAATAATCTTTTTTCTTTCTTTTAGGGGGAAAAAAATCAGATGAGGAAGACAGCGCGAGGAGGCCAGGTGTGTGCGTTCGTGTGCGTGTTGTGGGCGGGTGTTCATAAGATATAAGCTTTTGCTGCCTCTTTAAAGGCAGGAACTAGCGAGAAAGTACGAGCACGCGCTGAGAAGAGGCACATTTAAAGGAAATCAAGAAGAGGAAAGCGAGGCACAACGCGCGCTGGCGCGCACCAAACAGTCTGGCGAGGCAGGCGCAGAGCGAAAGGGTCAAGCTGAGCATCCGGACGCCAGAACCGGCCTCCTGTTAAAATGCGCGTGCACCGCCAGGCACTCTCGCTTCAGCGCTAACAATCCTAAACAGCAGTGTGTGTGTTTTTCACGTTGTCTCCCCAATTCTAGGGGTGGGAATTCTTGGGGATCTTATTGGGGCCATTATATTTCATGGCTATCCCTTGCCCACTTTTAAGAACCGTGCATCACCACACCGATTGAATTATGTACCTCTCTGCGCAAAGAAAGAGGAAAAGCAATCCCCTGGGCAAAGCGGAATCGATCTGCTTGTCCCTCGCTGCATGAATGACAGCGGGGAAGTAGGGAAGGTTGGCTCGGGAACCGGGAGACGTCATCGGAAGGGACACACGTGGCCGATGCAGGACAGATCCAAAGCCGCCGCAAACTTTCATGAGAGAGAGAGCGGAAAGACCTACACAAATAATAGTAAGCGCCGTCGGTTCCGCAAAGTCCGAGGCCTTAATTCTTAAGGAAATTGGGAGGAGGAGCGAAGGGTAGGGTTGCACTAATCCGGCATAAACCCCTGTTTAAAGTTCGGATTTAATGGTGCAGGATCTCCGAGGGAAGCCTGATCTCCGGCTAGGAGAGCGGATTGCATCCCGAAAAGGATCCGTTTGATTCGTTCTCGCAAATTGCCTCTCTCCCTCCTGCAAACAGCCTGTAAGACAAATGCAGCTATTGACAATGCATTTAAGCGCAAGGAAGGGCGATGAACAATTCTGCTAGTTGGTGGTTTGTTTCCCCCTCCTTCCTCCCGCTTTTCCCCCCTCGCATCTGAAGGGTTATTAGCAAAAAAAAAAGTGTATTTATGGAAGGAGAAGGCCAATAGTTGGAATCAGAGAACTGGACCCGGACCTAGAGACCACCTAAGGGCCTGCCGTCATTCTTAACGCGTTAAAGTATAAGTGATTGAAAGCGATACAGTTACAAAGGAAATTCAGGCAAAAGAAAAGTTGCTGAGAGTTCAAAGTTGCGCAGGAAGTCCCATCCTGCTTCTTCAGTCACTATGCCTAGGATCGTAGCCTAAAAGCGGCGACAGAGTTTAGATCAACACAGCAATTTTGCGGGAGCTCTTCGAATTATCCCTGGTTTTGTAGCGCATCATCGACCGTTTCACACTCAAGAGTTTTAGAAAACTTGTTTTCGCGGCTCCCCTCTCCCTTTCCTCCACCCGCGTGCTTAAAAGAGCAACAGAACTTTTTCTTTTTAGAAAATGACGACTTAGAAGGGTAGTAGGAGTGGAAATTCGTAATATTCGAGGCGATCGAATTGATCAAGGGCAGTGAAAGGACTTTGACAATCAGCCAGCTTTAAATTTCAGAAAATCAGAGGCGCTGGTTCCTTCTCCGTCCCTCCCTCCCTCCGTCCGCCGCCCCCCTTTAGTTGCGTGTTTGCCTTTAACTTAGGTGTTATCAATCTGTTCCGAAAAATGACGAATGACCTTGTCACAGTGACGCCAGTCAAAACATTCTCTCGCTCTGCCCCGCCGCCGCCTTTTGTCCTAGCAGTTCTGTTCAGATTTGTGTGAAAGTGTCTTGCCTTGGACGCAGACGAAAACTAAACAGCACCGGCGTTTCCCAGGCTCTCTAAAAAAAGCAAGGAGTGTGGAGAAGTGCGGGAAAGGGGTGGGAGGCAGGAGGAGACACGGGCTCCGCAAACACTTGCCTGCGTGGGCTATTATTCATTGCTAAACGAGGAGCGTGGAACATGCGTCCTCGGACACGCGTGGCGCAGGGAAGCGGGTCTAGAAGCAGAACCATTCATTTCTGTGCGAGCAGAAAGCGCTTTTTGACAGGCTGTGCGCGCTAAAGCAGATCAATGCCCCGCGCAATCTATTCGCCTTGCAAAGGAATCACAGCAGAAGTTGGTTGGGGGAAGTTTGTCATATGTATTCTTTTTTTCCCTGTGTTAGGTTTACACGCTACACGCAGTGAGCTCATGCTCCGAATTATAAACAACCCAAGGAAAGCGCGGGCTGGTTGGGGTACAAGAAAATGGTTCAAACGTTGACCTCGCTTGAAATCCCATCGTGTTTAACTTAGCCAATAAGACTTTAAGGGGGCAGAAGCGCGTTCGTCGGTGCACACGACCGCCAGTTCCTAACTGCTAGGCGTTTATGTGTCGTTTTGAGCAAAGGCCCGGCGACTGCGCCTCAAACGCTCAGCACGTTGCTGCACGAGTTATTCTGTAAAAACTGTTTCATCCTGGGGACAGGAGGAATGGATAAATGGATGAATAGATTAGCACCTTCCATTTGGAGCTGCTCTTGCCCAAGGGATAGAATAACAGAATTTCAGAGTTGGAAGGGACCCTGAGGATCATCTAGTCCAACCCTCTGCAACGTCAACATAACGACGGAGTCCACAAGGCGCTTCCTTAGGTCTTGAAGCGGCTCGGTGCACGTTCTCCTGGCACCGACCCAAGTGGCTTGCGAATCGCAAAGAGAGAGAGAGCGAGCTACAAAGTGATTTGGCTTTGAGAGAGGACCATGTTTAATTCCCTGTTTCCAACAAGGGGAAAGTTATGAGCCAATGGTTTTATTCAGTGGCTAAGACCTGGGGGTTGGGGGGTGGAAGATGGGGAAAGGTGGGACGGGGCGTAGGGAGAGAGAGTCGAAAGCCAAGCACTGGAATACATTTGAGCCGACGTGACGTCCAGAGCCCAGCAAGGCCGATCTGTGGGGTGGGGGGTGGGGACTCCAAAGCGTTTTGCTCGGTGGAGCCTGGGCTCTGGGAAGGGGCTCGCCTTGGCAGACTTTCAGGAGTGCCAACTTGAATCAAATACGGAGGGAGGGGCAAAGAAGTCGCGCCCCACATAATCGATCACAAGACGACACGGCACACCATTTGAATGGACACTGGCCATCCACTGGGGGGGGACGGACCACCCCCTCAAATAGGGGGCGGAGGGACCTCGACCCCTAGCAGTTGGCTCCTGGGGACGCTTCACCCTCTTCCGGAACCCAGAAGTCTACCAATGACCCCAACCCTGCCCCTAACGCAGATTCCCCCCCCCCCTTCCCTCCAGCCGTCTGGCAAACGACGGAAGCAGCAGCCGCCGCAGCCTTCTCGCCCTGTTCAAGAACCAGGCTGCTCTGAACTTAACCTACGCGAGGTTGCGCGCGGCGGGGAGGGTGGGGGTTGTGTTGCGAGTTTAAGCAGCGCTCCGATCCGCCGCTCTTTCCCCCTCCCTCTCCTCCCTCTCCCTCCTGCCTCCCTCACACGCTTGTGTTTAGTGCTGTCGTAAAACCCACGTGTCTCTCCCGGAGGCTGCCAGAGCGCCGAGCGCAGCGGAGCACCGCCGCTCCTGCCGTAGAGCGCCGCGGCGAGAGCCAGCGAGGAAGACGCCGGAGATCTCCACGCGGGACAGCCTCCCCACGTCCCCGCCGTCCGAACCCCGCTCGGGCGCCTCTCCCGCTGCTTGAGCGGAGCTTTTCGGGAACACCATCTCTCCAGCACCCCCCCCTTCCCCACCGCCCCCACTTTCCTTCCCCTCAACGACCCTGGATCTCCTCGGGGAGAGAAGAGCCCTGCGCGCCTTCAGATCCGGGTAGCCCACAAAGAGATCCAGGTAAAAGAGAGGCGGGCGGGATTATAGATGGCTGGGGGGTCAGGGTAAGAGATCTGGCGGGATCCTTCGCCTCCTGCTCAAGTTGCCTCGCCGCGCGCCAACTTCTTTCCGGGACGCTGGCGGCGCGCTTTCCCCTTTCGCTTTGCGATCTTCGGTCCCTGGAAGTCCGCGGGACTTCCCTTGCCCTAGAACTTGGCAGGATGGGACGGTCCGGGGTGGGGCGGCGGAAGGAGGTGGGTAGTTCAAAGGCGATCCAGAATGTTACTCGCCTGGGAGCAATTTGGGGGTGGGGAGGCCAGATCCCTGGCAAGAGTGGGTGCCCCGGGGTCGCTTTCCTCCCCATCCCCCCCCCTGAAACTCAGGATCGCGGCAGATGCTGAGCCGTTGGCGGGCACCAAATGCGCCTCCTCTCCCTTGCGGAGCGGCTGCTGAGAGGGTCGAAGTCCGTCGGGAGTAGCATCCTTGGCCGTCTTCAGACTCTGAGCCGGACGCCTTGCGGAGCGCAAAGTCCCGACGGCGCCTCTCACGGCTCTTTCTCTCCCCTCTCCCTCTCCTCCTTCCTCTCCTCCAGGCTCGCAGAGATGCTGAAGCCCGGCGATCCCGGCGGATCGGCTTTCCTCAAGGTGGATCCCGCGTACCTCCAGCACTGGCAGCAGCTGTTCCCGCACAGCAGCCAGCAGCTCAAAGGCGGCGCCGGGCTGCTAGGGCACCTCCAGGCGCCCGAAAGAGCCGTCGAGCCCCAGGCTGACAGCCTCCGCCCGCTGCCGGCCTCTCTCTCGTCGGCGGCGTCCTCGTCCTCTTCCTTGTCCTCCTCTTCGTCGTCTTCTTCCTCCTCCTCCTCCTCCACCCCGTCGTCCGCCCCGTCTTCGTGCGCCGTCGCCTCCCTGGCCAGCTTGACTGCGCTGCCGGTGGCGCAGATCCCCGTCTTTGGACCGATTCAGAGCACCGAGTCCCCGCCGGGAGCCCCGGTCGCCCTCCTGCAGACCAAGGACCTGGGCGGAGGCAGCGGGGTGGCCAAGGGCGGCGAGAGGGCGCCGGCCCGGTTTCGCTGCACCGCCGAGGAGTTGGACTATTACCTGTATGGGCAGCAGCGCATGGAGATCATTCCGCTCAACCAGCACACCGGGGACCCCAACAACCGTATGTACTCCCCACCCAACCTTCCCGACGCGCGGCAGGGCACAGCCACTTTGGCGAAAGTTTGGGGTGCAAATGGGGGGCGGGGCGGGGAGAGAAAGGACCCGCTCTCAAAAGTGAGAGAGCCACTGAACTCAAGAGAGCTTATGGAAGAAGGAGCTTACGTCAATGTGATGAGTAACCATATAACCTTTAGAAGGCAGCCCTATAGGGAAGTTTTTAATGTGCAATGTTTTATTATGTTTTTATATGTGCTGGAAGCCGCCCAGAGTGGCTGGGGCAACCCAGTCAGATGGGCGTGGTACGAATAATAATAATAATAATAATAATAATAATAATAATAATAATAATATTTAAGCCCTTGACTCAAAACTAAGCCCTGCAGTGGGGCTTAGTCCCAGAGATTTTGCGTGCATGAGATTGCAGCCTAAATTAAGGGCACCCCAAGCAGAATTGGTCATCCAGCACACGCAGACTCTCCTAGAATTACTGCTTGGAACTAAATAAAACACTTCAAGATGCGGCCTTTAGACGCCTCCTCCTTGCAGAATGCCCCTAAATGATCGCTGGTAAACTTTGTTAACTTCCCCCAAAGTCTCAAGAGCACATACTCCGAAATAAGTCCCACTCCCGACAACGGGGCATTGCCAAGGCAGGACTTTGTGGTCGTCTGAAGCACTTAGCGCTATAGCAGGATTGGAGAGTGACCGGCTGCATACCAAATGTTTTCTAGAATTTTGCTGAAAATAGGGTGGTTGTTGTTGTTTTAAAAAATGAATATGTTCTATTTAAATATTGTATGGATAGCTAAAATGTGTGGAAGGTGTTTTTCCTACATTGAGAACAAACAAACAAAAGTTTTGCTTTTTATAAGGGAACTGCTTTTTTTTCTCCTTTAAAAATACTGTATCCTTTTCCCTTCGGCCCTTGTTCATGCCAGTAGCACAAGGCAGCTGGGTTTGCCTTCTCAGCGTCAAAGGCGAGGCACGTTCGTTCCATAGGAAGTTTGTTTTCAAAAGTATAAATGTCAAAAGCCTAATTGGGTGTCAAAACCAATATGCTATGGGGGATTTCAGAATTACTGAGACCGCCACATTGACCTTAAAACAAAACAAAACCGGGGAATCGAAAAGCCCCCCCTTCGCGAGATTTAGGCCTTAAAACAAAACAAAACCGGGGAATCGAAAAGCCCCCCCTTCGCGAGATTTAGGCCTTAAAACAAAACAAAACCGGGGAATCGAAAAGCCCCCCCTTCGCGAGATTTAGGCTGCAACCCCATGCACACTTACCCTGCTGTAAGTTTAAACGGAGTAGGGCTTACTTTTGAGTAGACACACCTAGGATTGCCCTGTTACTTTACTTTTCTGAAGTGTGGATTTGACCAAATACCCTTTTCTCAATTACAGCATGTTCCTTTACCTGTACGCCTTTGGAATTGCTTAAAATCTTTTCAGCTGTCTTAAATAACATTATGTATTATTATTGGCATAGTTAGGAGCAATCGACCTTATCAATGGCACATGTGTAGCTTTTAAACACTATTTCTCCTGTTGAAATAAGGGTTTGTTTTTTTTTAAAGTGTTTTTGTAGTTTCACGAACTACGGTTAAACAATATTTGCACTTGGATGACTTTACAACCGATCCTCACAATATTTGTATGCAAACAAATGCTATCAAAACGAGGAGATTTGGAGTAAATGTGCTCTGGGCTGAAAGATGCAAGCTCGGAGACTTTGCAAGCACTGGCGGAAAGAAGCCCGCAACTTGTTTAAACAGAAGTGCTTGCATTCTAAACCTTGTTGAACCTGGACGTAAATGGGATGGAAATCGGTTTCAACATAAATAGTCCGGTTTAACTGGTCAGTGCATGAAGCAGGAAAAACGCAATTTCAATGTAACTTAGAAAGTTTGTATATATATTTTTTCCAACGAGTTGAGGAAACTTCCCAGTGCTAATGGTAACGCGGGTGGTTCTTTTTAATTGAAACAATGTCACGGAACACACAGTTCCTTAGCAATAAGCCGCACTGAATTTACTTCAATGTATTTTGAATCTGGCGAGGATCCGTCCGATCCTATGCACTTTTACTCGGAAGTAAGCCCCACTGGTTTCAGTGCGGATTAAGCCCAGGTAAGTATTCATAGGACCAGAGCCCTGCATCAATATCCTCCTGTTACTCGGCCCCAGGAACCATAAACGGTGCTACCAAGATCTAGCGGGTACAGGATTGCAACCTTACAGCGCAATCCTGTATGCATGTTTCCCCAGATGTGAGTCCCATGGGGTTCAATGGGCCTTACTCTCCAGTTGCAAGCGTGTTTAGGATTGCAGCCGGAACCTTGCACATTAAATGTGCATTAAATGTGACATTTTAACCGCAAAGTGGGTTTTCGGTTCGCGCCGATGTCCCAAAGCGCAAAGGTTTCGCGATCCCGATCATGGGCTGTGGGAAACCTGAGCATTTCAGCGCATCGTTTGCCTCCAGAGGCGACGCAGCCCGTGTTTTCTCGGGCGGAGAGAGAGAGAGAGAGAAAATCTGCTCCCATAAATTACAGACTCATAAATTAATGGGCTCTGAAACGCGGCTTACTTTTCAGAGACAGAGCTCGGTAAATCTAGAAGATAAAGGGCTTGCAAGAGAGCAGGAAAGGTAAAACAAAGGGTGACCTCAGAAAGGGCAGGGCTGCTGAGCCAATTCGTGCTTCCCTCGCCAGCACTTAGAGAAAGAGCTTTGGAAAGGCCAGTGGTGCTTGATGTGAAATACTCCACGTGGTCCACGCGGGATCGCGACGCGGCGAGGAACCGTCGGATTTGCTGGCGAACGCAGCTCCGCGCGGGTTCAAGCCCTGGGCGTGCCAGGGAACTGGAGCGCGCCTAGTTCTAGGCTGGGCTCCCAATCTGCTCCACAATCCGCTCCCTAATCCAGATCCCAATGCGCTGATCCCTCCTTACTCATCCTTAACTATGAGCCCGTTCCGATTTCTTTGGAAGAAGTTCCGAACTGAGAGCCTTCCTAGTTTCAAACGCACAACCTCAGGGTTTGGCCAGACCATCTCGCCCGAGCTCCAAGGGCTCGGGGCTGTGTCGAGGGGTGGTGGATCGAGCCCGTTGTTAGTGAGCCCGTCTGTTTCTCCTCTCTCCCCCATTCCCCGAATGTGCCACAAAACCCTCTTCCCACGCGTCTCGTGGTCTGGTATTTCTCGTTTCTGTCGGAGATCAGAAGTGGTGCCTTTCCAGAGTTCACAAATAAGGAGAGGAGGATCCTTTTCAGAAGATATGGGGACGGTCAAAAGATAAAGGGGTTTTCGGCACGGGAAGGTGGAGATCCTTGGCCAGAGAGTGGTGGAGTGTCTTTGGTTTGGGACTAGTTTTGATTTGCAGCGGAGATCGCTGGGCTATGGAAGCAGTTGTTGGACCAGGGATGACTGCAGCAGAGGCTAAAGAGAATCACAGAACGGTAGTCCAGCCCACATTAATGCGCCTTTGGAGTTCTTTTCACAGGCTGCTGGTTGCGGAGAGTTGGTTTTGCTTTGCAATTTCGCGCGCCTCCCGTTTTGAATGTGCCCATTGGCTAGCTGTACACGCGACGTGCCCGCCGTAACAGCATGCACAAGTGACGCGTTCCACACTAAAGCGAGCTCTCAGCCCTCATCTTGTGAAAGCGCGCTGGTTTTTGGAACGGGTCCCCTAAATTCTGAAGTTTTGCGCCACAAATATATAGCAGATCTGCAAGGGTGGGCGGTCATCGTACGTAACACGATGACCTGTTGGAGTAAATTTTAGCTCCATTTATCCGACCTCGCCTCCCATTAATTTCATGCTGATTGACCAGAAACTCTCTTACATTCTTTAAAAAGTAGAGAGTCCAGTAAATTAAAAATGCAGAGTTTGCCCTTGTAATCGAACTACGGCAGGTTATTGGATTTTGCACTCTTATCTGAAGCACATTTACACATTTCGATGGGTCTCTTGTCCACTGAAGGTTTCAAGTAAGGATAGCAGACTCAGCCTCACTGGGTCCAAGTCGTTTGGCTTAACTGGGACACCTAACTCGATGCTGGTAAACCTTGTTCAGTCCAGATGCCCTGTGGTCCGAATATGTACCATAATTTTAAAGGATAACGAACTTTGTGTCGGGGACATAAAGCTTGCTGCATTGTATCTCACATAACCAGATTCCGTCAACCTTTGACTATGATTATGATTAATATCGACATATGCTAATTGCAAATGGAATAACGCAGAAGACTCTTAGTTTCACCTGAATATCTTTTATTGTATAGTACTGTTTTAAAAGTCATAAACTAGAGATGATGAGGATCCCAGTGTGAGAATACCTGTGGACATTCCGATATGTACCACGAATGGCTAATTTTTCTCAGTTGATATCGTGCCTAAATGTAAAGCAAAATATTCTACTTTTTCACTGTGTGTTCTTTTTGGGTAGATGAGGTTTAACAATCCTGGAGGCACCAAACAACATTGAACTGAATGGGGCTTACTTCTGAGTAAACGTGCAAAGTATTGCCTCGTTAGAGCGCCATCATGCATACTCAGAAGTAAGTTCCACGGAGTTCAGTAGAACTTACTCCCATGTAAATGGGAGTAGGTTTTAACTAATTTAGTGCTCCTCAATCACAGATATAGATTATTTGAGAGACTATTCAATAGGTACTAGCCAGGAGTCAATTTTCAAAGAGGATCTGTTTGAGGGTATTTTTTTAAGGGGAAAAAAAAGGAAAAGTGATTTATGTTATTGTTTCAAGTGAAGACATTTCTAGCTAATAAATTGTCACAGTCTGACTCATTAGGATTGGAAATCAAATGGGATTTTGCTTAAATAAAGCGGCAGTTGTGCATTTTAATGGCTAGATTCACGCCCATGATCTTGAGCAAGTTAGGGCGTTTTCACGCCTGAAGCTTGTATTGGTCTTAAAGGCGACTGCCAAATAAATCTGTCTTGGCCAGAATGCGCCTTCCACTTGAAACCTCTTTTTAAGC